TACCTGCTCCTAAGAACGTGCACCCCTTCGAATCAAGAGTACTCAATGAAATGAGATTCTTCTTCAAAACTGCATATGTCGAACTCAAGTATTCTACATGTTCCATCTACCAACTTAAATCTAACTCTTCCAATACCAGCTGCCCGACAGGATTCGTTGTTACCCATGACAACGACACATTGGATCACCATTTCATATGTTTCAAATAGGTACCGATTGGGACGCATATGGAACGCACAAGCTGTATCCAAAATTCATTCCTCATCAAGTTTGGATTCCATGCAAGAAATTGCCAAAAAGATCTTCATCACTCAAATAGTCCTCAACTATGTTAGCGTCATCCAAAGTGTTTGAATGCTTCCCATAATTTATAGTTGAATTACCTTTGCTCTAACTTTTTTCAATCTCTCTTGATGTGTCATTTCTTCTTGCAATAAAAACAATCCTGATTACTATAACTAGACCTCGACTTAGCCCTTCCCTAATTACCATGAACCACAAGACCATCTCTATCTCCGGACTTAGATCCAACTAGATGCTTCATCTTCTCTTTTAAGAACAGGACATCATACACATTTTCAATGGTGAGAGTATCACGACTAGACAAAATCGTGTCCCTAAACAAAGCAAACAAAGCAGGCAGCTAACACAGCAGTACTAAGGCCAAATCCTCTTCTTCGTATTTTACCTCTAATGCCTCCAAATTAGCGACAATCTCCTTGAACACAGCTAGATAATCTTCTAAAGATCAGCCATCTGCAATGTGATGAGAATACAACCTCTGCTTCAGATGCAATTTGCTCATCTGATTTTTAGTCATGTGCATTTGCTCCAACTTCAACCACAATGCAGCTGCTACCATCTCCTTCAAAATGTCTTGAAGAATATTGTTAGAGAGATGAAGGCAAATATGTGAAAATGCCTTCCAATCTTTCCTTTGTTTCTCCTCTATTGTCCACGTTGTAGGCATCTTGTCAAATTCTAACAACACATCATTCAAATCCATCTACGGCAATATAGCTCCCATCTTTACTTACCACAACGAAAATATTGTATTGTGATCCAAAAGCGAAATTTCATACTTCATGACTACCATCGATAACAAAATCCTTAAACAAAATCGCAATAGTTCTGATACCACTTGTTATGAAACGGAGAGGCGATATGACACAATATGAAGTATATGATCACACACAGAAAACAAGATTGAAATCAAGAAATAGATTGACAGAGGAATCATGTATTTTATTCAACAACCAATGGAGAAAATAATACTGTTACAGCAATCTCAGCAATTCAACTAAACTGAATGAAAAGTCTACATTTATAGGGGACATTTCAAAATCCCAGAAGTAACTTAAAAGATGGAAACTAGGTCAAAATATGTGTGAAATAGATAAAAGGAGGAAATCCCGGATGATGTGTCGCTCGAGCGGCGTTTTGCGTTGGGCGAGCAATCACCCTGTTGCTCAAGTGAGACCTCGACGACAGGCGGGTGACGATTCCCTGCTCCAATAGTTCACCTATTGCTTGAGCAGCGAACTAGTGATAAGCTAGCGAAAATACAGGGAACTTTTCTTCCCAATTCATAATGTTGATCTCTTCAAGACCACTTTAACTAAAATTTCAATACCCACTAGAATTTGGGTCAAATTGCAACAAATCTCCACCATAAACTAAATTCTGGTGCAGTGACAAAACTCTAAAATTTCTCCGCAAGAAAAAATATGTAAGACTGTAACGAAACAACTGAGCTCTTCAACCCGAACCAAACTTCTCCAATCACACAAAAATAATCTTCCTCTTTCACAGTATCCTTCATGGATACATGAACCTAATCATCGGGTTCCCAAAAAATTTCACAAAGAATTTAGAAATTACCAAACGGGGTCGAAGCACACTGTAGCATAATCAACTTTCAATACTTTCACCAAAAGCCCCTTGCTAGTCTCGACACTTTCAAAAATCTCAAAAGCACGTGCAACAAAATTGTTGACCCCCGAACTCCGACCTCATTATAAATTGTCCATAGGCCCACTTTAGTAGATTTCAGTTCGGCATTTCTTCGCCGCCTTTACAAAAGATAGACATTATGATTACCCCTTGTCACATCACATGCCCAATCTCACGCACTTGCCATAAGTGATGTAATCACCGCCCAATGCTACCAATCTAAGGTCTGGAATCTTCAATTCTTCACAGGTTATCATTTCTCAGGGAAATATTGACACATGGTCACCGATCTCATCGTCCAATCACAAAAGAATTTGGTGACCTGACTTTCGAGCTCGACACTGTAGTTGATTTGACTGATTTTACATAATTTCTGCTGGGAACCATGTATAACTAATGAAAGAATAGAAAGAAAAACACAACAAACTCAGTACGCAAAAACAAAGAAAACTTTAAAGGAATTTACCCACTATTATCTTCGAATGGCCCCTCTTTCTTAAAGTTGATTCGAAATTAACTTTTACAAATTTCGACGTCAACAAAAATCATTATCCATGTACTATCTCTAATGGGTCTATCCCTAGCAGTTGAATACTATGAAACCATAACCAATGGTAGCAAAACGAAATTACATATATCCTCCAAACTTAATTGAGTAGTATTCTTCAATATGGACCGACACAGAGCCAAATCCCAAAGGTATTGTACCAAAATTAATATCTACCACAATATTAAATCTGTGCTGACTTTTCCTCACCGATTATGCTCAACCTTGCAAGATGATAACCAGGACCTCTTCTGTCCCTTCAATACAACACGGACGTCCTTCCTAACCTTCAAGACTTCACTTGCTCTGAAGAACGTGTACCCCTTCAGATAAGAGTATTCAATGAAATGAGATTTTTCTTCAAAACTGGAATATGTCAAACGTGATCAAGTGTTTTATATGTTTTATCCACTAGCTTCAATCTAACTCTCCCAAGACCAGCTACTCGATAAGATTCGCTGTCACCCATGACAACGACACTCTACGTCAACGTTTCATATGTTTCAAACAACTTCCAATTGGGACACATATGGAGCGCAAGCTGTATCCAAAATCCATTTTTCATCAGGTTTAGAATTCACGTTAGAAATCACCAAAAGATTTCCATCACTCAAATAGTTCTCAGCTACGTTGGCCTCGTCCAAAGTGTTTGATTGCTCCCAGAATTTGCAGTTGAATTATCTTTGCTCTGTAACTTTTAGCAATCTCTCTTAATGTGTCATTTCTTCTTGCAATAAACAAACTTGATTACTATAACTAGACCTCGACTTACCCCTTATTCGGACACCATGAACCACAAGATCATCTCCATCTCAGGATTTTGATCCAACTAGATACTTCATCTTCTCCTTTGAGAACAAGGCATCATACACTTCTTTAGTAGTGAGAGTATCACGACTATATAAAATCGTGTCCCTAAATGAAGTAAACAAAACGGGCAGCGAATGCAACAAGATTAAGGCCAAATCTTGTTCATCATATTTTACCTCTAATGTCTTCAAATTAGTGACAATCTCCTTGAACACAACTAGATGATCTTCCAGATATCCGCCTTTTGTAATGCGATGAAAATACAACCTCTAGTTCAGATGCAATTTTGCTGACCAGACTTTTAATCATGCACAATTGCAACAACTTCAACCACAACATAGCTGATGTCGTCTCCTTTAAAACATCATGAAGAATATTGTTATAGAGATGATGGTGAATTTGTGAAAGTGCTTTCTGATCCTTCTGTTGTTTCTCTTCTGTTGTCCAAGTTGTGGGCATCTTGTTATATCTTAACAATGCATCATCCAAATTTATCTATGCCAATATAACTCACATCTTCACTTGCTACAACGAAAATCTTGTATTACAATCCAAAAGTGAAATTTCTTATTTCGTGACTACCATCGATAACATAAACATCAAACAAAATCACAACCAATAGTTTTGATACCACTTGTTATGAAAATGGAGAGGCGATATAATACAACATGAAGTATATGATCGCACATAAAAAACAAGATTAAAGGTAAGGAATAGATTGATAGAGGGATCATGTATTTTATTCAACAACCAATGAAAAAAACAATATTGTTACAGCAATCTTAGCAATTCAAATTAAACTGAATGAATGGTCTACTATTTATAGGGGACATGTCAAAACTCTAGAAATAACCTAAAAGAGGAAAACTAACTCAAAATACGCGTCAAACCAACAAAAGGAGAAAATCCTGGACGGCGTTGCCGCTCAAGTGGCTTCTAGCAACAGATGAGCAACAACTCCTTGCTCTAAAAGTCCAACTACTACTCGAGTAGCCAGTTAGAGGTAGACTAGCGAAAATGCTGCGACTTTTCTTTCCGGTTCATAATTTTAATCTCTTCAAAATCACTTTTACTAAAACTCCAATCCCCACTAAAAGTTGGGTCAAACTACAACAATAAGCGACTTAAATTCTTGTGAAAAACACAAATATATTTAACCATATCTTGTTTGAATATTGAGTAAGTTTGAATAAACATTGTACCTAAAATTTGAGACTGTTATTCAAATATAAATTTCTGTATTTTCTTTTTTATGTTAGTTCGTCGAACCTAGTTAAGATCACTTGATTATCACTTGATATGGAAACTCTTGTACAATACAATTGTTAATTTACAAGAACAGTAGCACAAATTATTCAGAATTTATACAAATAGAGAATCATATGAGATTTTCTTTTCCCATTTTTTTTTTTTAAAACTCGAAATGGAGAATTTATGTAAGAAGAAATCGAGAATAAAATAAGTACCATACAGAAGCGGGTTCTTATATTGATTCAGCTATAAAAACGTGGTTCTCTAATCTCTTTCCTTATTCAGACCTCAACTCCCAGTCTCCGGCTCGCTGCATGATATTCTTATACGCTTGTGATCAAGTTGTTGGACCAATAAACACTTATTATCAGAAATAAGAAAAACTGAAGTCTGAAAGTAATGGCATGTCACAATTTTATCAGAAAGAAAGAGTCCCAAGTAATCAAAATGGAAATCAGAATTCAGTACCCCATAAGAAAGATTAAGCATTCCAGTAAACAACACACAGAAAACACATGCTAACGAATATGCAGTGAATCAAATCCACAACTTATTTCTATTCCCGCAAAAAATATTACGGCAGGACCAAATAAACATCCTTAATACAAGAGCCAGAAAGATAAATGTTACAAACTCTACATAAAGAATTCAAGGTCGGTCTTGCCACGATGTTGCAGATGTCGGAGGTCTTAGTTACAAATGCAGCGCTGCCATTGACTTTGTCATGCATGACGAGGTGTCCAGTTCACGTGCAATATGATTCCTCGAAATATGACTCCAGGTTGCACCCGTGTCAGTCACATCACACATAGTCACGAAATCCAAAACCTGTCCGAATATTTTGAACATCTCGACCCCAAATATAAGGTTTTCATCAGTAACAAATGCAGCATTCCAGTCCATTGGGGCATCTGGATGTATCGAAACTTCATTCCAAGTAAGATACATAAGATCAAGCTCCCATAGCTTTCTAACTGCTTTGTTTCTCCTGCCTATACGACCGTCTCCCTCACACCACGAGACGGATAGCATGAACAGCCGACTTTTACAGGATATAAGTTTTGGATAGTAATCGTGAACTCGAGGTGGACATGGAGTCGTTTGAATTCTAACCCAGTATCCCCTCTCTATGTCATATCCAGCGAGCTTGTCGCTCTCTGAGTAAACGTAGAACGTCCCATTACAAACAACACCAGAACAAGCCACCCCAAAATTTAGAGGTAGCCTCTGGATTTCAATCCATTTATTTAATACAGAATCATATATTTCCCCAGAATCTAATGGCTCATCCCAAGATCCAAGGCCTCCCACAGCAATCAATACATATTTTCTACCATATTTGGGGCATGACTTTTCATTTTTTTGCCTTGGCTTGATATTGGGAAATGGTGGAATATCATTTTCATCAAAAGCGTGTCTAGATTGGCGTCTAAGTGAAAGTCTGTGAGGATCCTCGTAGACATCTGATACACCACCAACCCTTGACCTGTTTAAATGTCTGTCCGAACGATCTTGCTGATCTCTGACAATTGAACAATCAGGACTAATCTCGGAAATTCCTAAAATAGGTGATGATCTGGCGTACTTCATGGATGCAGCTCTACTCCACGATGCAGTCGAGGGGCTAAAGACCAAAACTCCTTTGTGCGTCTTGAATGAGTTCCTATCCACCTTTCCAAAAGTAGTCAAGCTAGAACAACCTCCGACTATGTAAACATCATCCCTAATGCTAGCAACAGAAAATAAAAACCTTCCCTTGAGAATTTGACCATCTATTTTGTGCCATTGCTTAAGGGAAACATCCAATGCGTGTATTTCCCCTGAACAATAACCATTTTTAACAACACCAAAGAGAAACAACCATGGACTCCGGAATAAGCCTTCTACTCTCATCTGCATAAATCGAGGGGTTGTGGTCAAGTTCTTCCATTTCCTACAAACAAGACGAGCATTCATGAGACTTCCAAATGGGAGTCTCACCAAGCACATTTCTAGAATGTCATCCGGAAGATGCACGTTCATGCAACTATTTTGTTGTTTTTCTTCACATCCTAAAAGCTTTCTGTTGTTCCTCTTCCAAAATTTCTCTTTCATTCCATAGGAAAAACAATCTATAGTTCCTTCATCTGTTCCACATATGGTTGCACGCCTTTTCACTTCTTTGATTGTACTCGACCTTCTTCTGATGCATGGATCCCCAAACACTTCACTCATATCAGCACTCACTTTGCAACCTCCTCTGCCATAAAGAGTAAGACAATTTAAAGACATTTCCTCAGTATCATCCCCATCATCACCTTCATTTCTGCAATTCTTCTTTTTTGGCTTTTGATTCATAGTCCTGACCAGACTTTTCCGACACGCTCAAGTACTCAAATCCCCACAAATAGGTTCTTTTCCCGTCAACCTTTAAGACTTCATCTTGTATCATAATTTTTCGAATTTGTCGCAAATTCCAGGTGCTGCTATTCTCATGCTCATTATTACCCTACACGGAGCACATAAGAAAGTTTAAGAACTACATATTTCAATAATCAACCTACAAAGGGCTGGTACTATTTCACCGAATACTAAATAAGAAAAAGAAAAAGCACTAAGAACAGTAAAATCCCATAAAAACCCATAAATAATCAAGGTATAAGGGCTCAAAAAGGAATTAGAGTTCCAAAATTTTGAAAAGGCAATTAGGTTCTTCTAAAACTCAAATGAAATCCTCGGATTACTATCTTGCAAGGCTCAAACATATCCTGGGCCTGTTAACATAAAATCACAAGCCTAACAAATAAAATAAAATACATTTTATAACTTGAAAGGAATTTCACACATCAATGGGCACAAGAAATGGAATCGAAGATCCATATAACCATTGAAAAACCAGACCAGTTCAAAAAATAACAAGAAACAAAGAAAGACGAACCTTGGAAGCAAATTCCTTTTTCAAAATCCCACCATCTCCAAATCGAAGATCAATTTCTAGAGAAAAAAAAAATGAGAACTGTCAAATGAGATCCAATCAGCATAAGAAGTCAATTAGTGATCAGACATCCAATCGTCATATAAAAATCGAGTCTTTATGGGATGAAGAACAAAAAAATATACATCACCGAGACTGACATTTTATTTTCTTTTCTTTCGTTCGTTTGTGCACTGTTTGGCACTGTGGGGGAATGAATTTCAGTGAATTGTCACTACCAACCGGCTTAAATAACTTAGGACCTGTTTGGGCCCATTTTTTCACCCAAAAAATTAATTTTTTGACCGTTATTTCACTATTTCAGTCGTCATATTTGACTTCTTCTCTTACAGGTGAATCCCACTTTTCTCCTAACGGTCAAAAAATTAATTCTCAAAATCACTCCCAAACAGACCCTTAATAAAGAAATTTCATTAGAGGTCACCTACCTCAGAGGTTATTTCATGTTAGTCACTCGATTTTAATTTGTTTTAATTTGATCACTTTTCTTATATTTTGTTTAAATTTACCTATCGTATGATTCTATTTTTAACCGTCACAAAAACTTATGGAATTTGTGACCTACTTATATTTTTGGCAACACAATTTCTTTTGGTACTAGAAAAATTGTATTTCTAAATTTCATATTTATCTTAGAATAATAAGTCTATTATAATGTCAAATGACATACACTACATTGATCAGTCACGCACAAAATTCTTATTCAAATTAAAAACTTAATTGGTCATATCATGAATTCTATCAATTTTGGTAACGATTTGATGAAAATGATTACATTAAAATATAAATATAAGTTGGATGATTTCATCAAATAAAACTTCTGTGATTCATTATATCTAAAAATTCAAAAAAAAAAAATCATTTAAAATGAGTCAAAAATCAATTGGCTCACTTCAAAAATCTGTTTTACTCTCGATTCGATGATTTGATCATCAAACCTTTATTTTTCTGAGTTGATGCTCAAATTGATTTTCAAAATACGGATTGAAATAAATAAATAAAAGAAGGTTGGATTATCGAGGTTAAATAAATAAGAATTAGATAAACAATTGAAATAACCCTGCAAATTGGATGGCCTTAGATGAAATTTTCCCAATATAATAACGCCCTTCAAAGTTCAAACATCAACACCTTAAAAAAAAAAAAAAAAAAGGTTGAACCCCAACCTTGAGGATGCTCATCGTCCCGTCTCTAGAGTTTTGTGATGGAAGTAAATTCCAGCAGGTCAGGGAATAAAAGCTGTCTGTACACTATGCCTACAAAGAGTCCAATTTCATGTCTCAGGAATCGAACCCCCACACTGCGATTGTTAGCAAGATGTGAGATAACCTCACTCCTATCCTTTGCACCACTGAGCTATGCCCCGAGGGGCTTCAAACATCAACATCTTCAACTCATTCAAGTAGGATTTTGTTTTGTTTTTGTCAGATTTGCTGTTTCTTTCCTTTCGCATTTTCCTTTTTTTTTTCTTTTTAATTAATGGGTTTCATCATTGTTGCATAGCCTTTTCATGTTATTTTACACAATTGAATCAACCTTTCCCCACATATTTAGGCAATTTTTTAGTTGTAAATTTGTGGGCTCGATACAATTTAAAAAAAAAAATGATGTTCTAGGCTGAAATTAAAGGTTTTTATTTTTTGTTAAAAAAATAATAAGACTTAATTACTATTGTAGTAATTGAAAATCATTACGTTCTATCATTTAACAAAAGAAACTACTAATTAAATGAAGATTTCTATTAATGCAATGTCCAACTAATAATAATACGAGTAATTCTCATTTGCGTTATGGAATAAAAGAACTATCCATCGTAAAGAAAAAAAATGTGAGCGAGCATTGTGAGAGATGCATTGGTAGCATTGCCTATTTATTTATTTCTTTTTTTTTTTTTTTAATATTGATCAATTTAATAATATTGAAAAGTTATTTATAAAAATAAAAATATTCGGGGGGCTTTAATTACGACAGCTAGCATCCACGTGTAGGGTACCATAGAATATAATATAATGAATATTGATGAGTTTGGTGGACTAAAGTTGGACGGACCCATAACTTGCTCTTATGGTCAATACTATAATTGATTAAAAGTTATTCCAACTACCTCCAAATTAATGTGGTAGATGTTGTTTGTGTATTTTTTTTATTTTTGCATATAGAGCATGAGATTAGTAATTTCTTTTTTTCATGAAATAAGATTTTTTTTTTATTTCATTATATATTTGATTTTAGTTTTTCAAAAAGAAACTAAATGAAATGTGAAGTTGAAAAGCAAGGATGGATTTTGTACTCGTGAGCGTGTTTGGAAGGGTTAGATTTTAATATATAATAAGAGACGCTACAAATTTTGAAAAAAGTAATTACTAAAATTCTATTAACGCCCACATAGCATTTGATATTAGTCAATTTAGTGAGCCCGATATAATTGGACGAAATGACCAAATGAAAACAACATTAAAGTATAATGATCAAATTGACAAAATTTGAGGAATACAGACCCAATTAAAATTTGGGTGAAAATATAATGATTGCTGGGATAATTAATATTATTGAGGTTGTCCCTGCATCGGTCTTTGAAGGGGTTGGTGGTCATTTTATAAATGTAAGGGAAGGTCTCACCTCTTGAACTAGCTTTTGGGGTTGAAAATGCCCAATATCACCAAACTCTCACATCAGAGCTTAGATTATTAACAAATCTTAGGCTCAATAATCACATGAGATGCAAGTTTGTATGAGGGGGAGACCGATTTGGTCTCCCACAAGACTCAATGCGTGAGAAAGAGGTTGTTCCATATCTGCTGTGGAAGAGGCTGGTGGTTAATTTATAAGTGTGAGGTCTGACTTTTTCATCGCGAAAAAGGAAAAAAACTTGCACAATCCAAAATTTTTAAGAGTCGAAGATATATATTGGACTCTGAAATGGTTCTGAAATTCTATGCATTAGTAGAAATGCATTCTACACTAGCAGAGCTAAATGTTTTGTTCATCCAATTGGTACAATACCACCCCTCTCAAATATACACATGATTCAAAAGATACAAATTACAGACTACGAGACCACTGGAAATAAAAGGGACCCAGTGTCAATTTCCATCGTCTCATGAGTTACTTTCAAGTGCACCTTTAAGAAGATTCAACCCTTCAGCAGATATACTCCTCCTTACTCGACTCTGCATTATTTCTATACGCGGTGGAGGATCTGGGGAGAAACAAATTATAATAACAGTTAAGTTGTCACATGTATTGCGCTTCAGCGCTTCCCGAACCAGCTCTCTTGAGCATCTTTCTGGATCATTGTGCAGCATCAGTTCTTTCCTAGCCATTGTAACAGCAAACTGACTGCTCATAACATCCCAAAGCCCGTCACAGCCCATAATCAAGAACTCATCGTCCTCGGTCAATAGTGTTTCTTGCAACTCGGGCTCAGAGCTTAAAGGGCAAGCAGAACCTTTCGGGCCCTTCATGTGCCAATCTCCAAGGGCTCGTGCTACAGACAATTGGCCATTAAGGTAACCATCGTATATGGCTCCTCCAAGTTTTTCTATCCTAAGTCTTTCAGACGTGCAATTAGGCTTGTGATCTTTAGACAGCTCGATTGCTCTACCCCGTTTCCCCAGCACAGCTCGACAGTCACCTGCATTGGCCACCACCATTGTTCTGCAGAACGTAAAATTATGTTAGACACAATCCAGAACGAGTTCTTTCAATAGACACTCAGAAGAAAGTAAGAGGCTCCACCGAACCACAGATTAAGGTCCCAACTAAGCAAAAACTTTGCAGGATGACATTGGTTATCACACCATTCTTGTCAAAATTGATACTATTTACATTTTTGGTCTTCTAAAAATGATACAAGAACATTTGGAGCATTTTAGCATATTTATTTACATATGTCGTACTGCAATAACCAATTTTAAAGACATTTTGACCCATCACATAGTTTGGATATACACTTGAACGTGCATACCCTAGTCTTAGATAATTTACATACTTCCTTTGGTCAAAGAAACTGGAAGCACTTTCAGAACTCAAGGTAGAACTGGGCTGAAACCTAAAAAGTTGACACCAAAGCAAATACGAACTGCAACAGACAAAGGCTTCCCATCTATTTCTTTTCTCATCCCCACACTCTTGAAACTCATAATTATATCAGTTTCAGGTTTTCCTTTCTTTTATTTACATAATTCTTCCTTCTGATTAATATAAATTGCTAGCAGAAATTGGTTACATGCCATGTATGAATCTTGATATTCAACATGCACATCTTTTGATAATTCACAGGTAAGGCATTAACATCAGAAAAACATTTTGATATCTTACCTTCCAGATATGAGAGCAGTCAGGGCCGTGGTGCCAGAAGATATGTCGAGGGAACTATCATCAGCAAATGCATAATCAGCTTTCAGAAATGCATTCTTAATTGCCTTTTCCATACAAGCAGGGAAACACGAATCCTCAACTATAAACTTGAGAATGTTATTCCTAACGAATGATGCTGCATCTGTACCTCCATGACCATCAAACACCTGCCAATATAGTGTGTCAATTAATGAAAAGTATGGTGAAGACAATTAGGGTAAACATTGAGAGCCAGAAGCAAGATAGAAGTTTTACGAGATTTTATGGTTGCCATTCAATAACTAATAAATTTGTACTATATTTGCTACATGTTAGTAGCATTTGACTTACACACCCCGTAGAAAGCACCAAGCGAAGGAGAACTTGTAATCTCGCCTAAATGTTGAGGCAAATTATTTATGCATATGTGGTAGTCCTCCATGTATGGTTTTGGTCCTTTCTCAGCACAGCTTCCAGATCGAAAAACTGGTATAAAGCTTGACTTTACATCTGAAGGTGACTTGATTTCAATCACCTCAAGATCAGAATCCTAGCCAATATGAGTCAAAACATTAGCCAGGATATTAGTAGTTTATCATACAAAAAGGGTAACAAGAAACAGATAAACTCTAATTCCATAACAAAAATAACACAGAGAAAGAACTTGAATCCTTGTGACTTTTTGAAGTTTGAAAGGTCAGAAGGTTCTGAAGATTGGTATCCTTCTGTACGTGGTTAAAACAGATTCAAGAAGGACTCCACTCTTATTCCTACTTTCAGATTCTCTCCATCTAGGAAAGAAAGCTTAACATAATTAAGGCCCTTTCTAAGAGTGAAAAACAGAGGAAAGGCAACCACAAAGTAGCGATTGGAATCCCTCTGTTTTCACAAGACGTCCACAAAAAACTTAAATACAGTAGTAACAGGACAAAGCTAGCCGGCCTTGCGGCAAAAGAGAACAAGCCAGTAGCATGAAAATGGAAAATAAAGAACAACATAAAGCTTAGTGGGTGGGTCTATGACACAAACCAGCTGACATCCCTAATTAAACAAATTTGCAACTGAAAACAGCTATTGCTAACATTGAAAACTTCATTTTTCAAATAATGAATTTTGATATAGGAATATCATCGAAGTTACGAATGCATGAGTAATTACATAATATACAACAGAAACTGCAATGCATTAAAAGGGACATATCCTTCAACATACCTTTGAAACTACATAACTTCAATTGAATCAAGTACTTCAACTCACATATTATACTAAAGTAAGAATTTGAAACAAAAATTATCTAACAGCAATAAAAAAAAAACTATATACTAGTAATCAGGGAACTTTAAGGTAGATTAACGGAACTAGACAATATTGAAGCTTAATTAGTGAAAAGAATTTATTTACCAAATCTGAGGGTGAGACTAGAGTTGTAGTGCTTATAGAATGCCGTACAATAGAAAGATTCCTTGGGGGTCTACCATTCAAGGATTTCCTCAAATCATCCATACCATCTTTCCCAGAAGGAGCGACATTATCATCACTATTATAATCACCTTCTATGGGAGTGAACAAAGGGGGAAAATCAGTCCCGGCAGCCATATTGCTTCCGAAAACATCAACTTACGTTCCACACAAAATAAATTACTAAAAAGATCCCTTCCTGACAAAAATGCAATTACCCCAGGCAAATTTCGAACCCTCAAAGCTCAGATTTCCCAATCCCCAAGTGCTTTGTAACTTAAATGAGTCAACTAAAAGAAGCTCCGAGAGAATTACCAAAGAAACCTTAATCTTAATCAAGTTCACTTCTTTTCTCAGCAGAGGCTAAAAGATATAAGACATCAATCTTGTATTACTCAACACCCTGAAAATCAAATAAACTCTTCGACCTTACAGATAATTCAAAACCAAGATCAGAATTCAAAAATTTCACCAAATTCACTCAGTTCTTCTTAAAAGATAATTCTTGACAAGCAACAACCTACTTAAGCTACAGGAATCTTATGAAAACCAACTCCAGGAACCAACTAATTACTCCTAAAATATAATCGAACAAACTAAAGAATCATCACAATAAAAATCCAATATCTATGACGACAAAAATAAAAAATAAATTGAACTTAACCCAAAAATACACAGATAATTCTCATAGATTCTTTTGCCCTCTTTCCGTTGTTCTTCTCAGCCAATCAATAAATCCCAGAAATAAAAAATGGAGAGAAATTTCAATCAAGAAGAAAATAAAACGAAAAAAAGTTCGGAAGTTGAAAAAGAAAAAGAAATTTATGGATGCTTTTGTTTTTCTTTTCAATGTGGTTGCCGGTTCGTGACCGGCGACTACAGGTAATCAACACTATCCTCGCAACATGGCGGACAGTAATTGGTTAATATTGATTACACCGGTAGTCTGACAAATTCATCCGAGCCGTTCGATCATGTCCTTTGGAAGATGGGCGGTGATAGATGGCAGAACTTGTTTGCTTTATCAATTAGAGAGAGGTAGGTCCGTTAACGACGGTAGAGACAATAGCACTGATTCTAAACACGTGGCACATGCTCATTGATTGATAGTGGGCTTTTTTCGGCAAAGGTAAAACAGCTTTCTCCACCTTTTTCTCACTTTCTGAAAGTTGGAGAAATGTGGGAATAATTGAGCAGAGTTTGTCCATCTGAATTGTGGGGCTAGATATGGGCCGTTAGATTCGAAATTGAATAAAGCCAGTTAGCCATGGTTAAAAGTTGGAAAGTGAGGAAATAGACTAATATGTAAGAAAATGATTAGATGCTTTTGTTTTAATTTTTCAAGCTATCTAATTATGCATTGACACGTGTCTCATCTAAATTTGAGTATGAATGTGTAATATGATTGTTCGAAATTAGATGGTGATAAATGAGTCATGAATGTGAAGAAACTCATCAACTTCCACTTTTGGCATAATTTATTTGGAGAACTAAATTTGCAATTTTAGCTTAATTATACAAAATGATTGGATCATTGAAAATAATTTGTTGGGTTTAAGTTATTTATCATTGTACATGATAAATATGAACCTAAGATCCCATTCATTTAGCACAAACTTCTAAGTCTCAGATCTACTCCACTTACTAGGAAAGTTTATGATGTGAAATTCTCTAATCCAACTCTCATTGGGAGGTTCCAATTTGGATTCTTATATAAAACTAGCACCAGTCATTTTCCAGAATGGATGTGATTAGGGTTCTTTTATTATGGTTACGTTGCTTTCAAATTGGATGAATGCAAATGTTTCTTCAAGACCAGGCGTTGTAAAAGTCGATGCTATTTTCACTCTCAAATCTACAATCAGAAGAGTTGCTGTTAATGGTTTTAGGTTGCCTCACTTTTTCTTGGCCTGCTTAAGCCAATGCAGAATTGGGCTGGTTTAATTCGGGTTAATGCCAACCAAAAGAAATGTGTTTTGAGCGTTACACGCCTTTTGCCTCTTTGAGGGTTGAGAAGCAGCCACCCATATGGTTGAATGCTAAGCCTTGGATCGCGACCATTGACTTGACCAAATATTTAACTTGGTTCTTGCCTTCTCTTATTCCAGATGGTTCGACACAGTCTCTTCATCTCTTTCCCTTTCTCTGAGTGATAGTTAGAGTTTTCTCTTTTGTAAATTTGTAATTAATCTTTGTGTTTTTCAATCTCTTTTCTTATAAGGTTGATTGTTTAGTACAGTCATTTAAAATTGAGAATAGTGTGATACCAGTTGTAAAGATGCAAGAAAGAATTCGAAGAAACTTATGGTTTCTTCGTCCATTTTGTAACGATTTCTTGGTTATTGTTAGTGGACCTAGAGCTATATTTCATGGCAGATGCTCAATGGATGATTAGGTCGTAAGACTAAACATTTGGGCCCTTTTAGGGTGAAACATATCTTGTGTTCTGGTTTCTTTAATTTTCCACAGTTTTTGATGAGTGGCTGAATAGTTCAATCCATAAAATAAGTAGTCTCTGGGCCTAACAAGGGGTATCAGAACTGTTTATTACTAGAAAATTCTTTTGGTGAGTGCTACTATGTTGATCTTGTTGAAGATCATATATAGTTTGTGAGATAAATTTGTTTTTCTCATAACTCGCTATTGACTCTGTTTAATTTATTGTTTCTACTGAGTTTTTTGGTGATTCGAGATATTGACTCTTTTTGTATTCTACTGGTTCTTTAACTCGTATTGAGTTTTGATGAGTTGAGTTGACTCTCTCCAATTCCTGCGGAGTTCATACTGAGTCTTCGTGACTCGTTGATTTCTTGCATTTGTATTGCAAATCTTGGTCCAATTCTGGTATTCTCCTAATGCTTCCCTTATTCTGAAACATTAAGGTTTCAAACTTTAGTAGTTCTAAAACCCCCTTCTTAATTTTACTAATTTCAGTTGAGCTTGGAATTGGTTATTAAGGTAAGTAATCCTCCATTACTTTCCTTTGTCTAAGACCTCGTGCCAGGATCTGGGAATCTGAGGGAATAGTGGAACCAAAGGTTACCATTCCTTAAACCTTTTCAAATCAACAATATACTATTTGAATTGCAACATAAATTGATCCTGTGAATTGCATAATAAGCAGGCATAATTACAATACCCTATTTTATTTAGCTATTCATATTTTTTGTCAATTCAATAAGTTGCCTAAATCATTATACTCTGTGTGTTGTATAATTATTGCTTCATGCTTATATCTGTCATCATGTCTACCACACATAAATTTGAAGTTGAAACATGGAATAGCAATGGAGACTTCAATCTATAGTACCAGAAAATGAGGGTTCTATTATTACAACAAAGATGCGTTGTTGTCCTTGATGGAAACTGGGTTGCAGAAACTAGTGTCTACAGGAGACAAGAGTTAGATGATACTGCATAGAGTTCAATTTTCTTACATTTGTCTGATAAGGTAATTAGAAAAGTAGGTGAAACTACGTCTACTGAGGCTCTGTGGACTAAGTTAGAAACACTATATCTGACTAAAACCATGCCAAACAAATGCCATCTCCTAAGGCAATTTTATAACTTTAGTTTGATCCCTCAACCAACTTAGAAGAAAATCTTGACACATTCACAAAACTGATTCATGACTTAGCAAATTAGAAATAACGTAGTTTGACCTAATCAACACCTAAAGGGGGATGAATAGGTGTTTGTACGAAATTTTAAACAATCAATTCATAATTGCAACAATTCACAGTTATTAATTTTGTATAAATTGATTCATATACATTACTACCCTATGTTGAACTGCTGCAAAATAGTAAATTGCAGAAACATAAATAGCACAACAATTTGATGATAGAGAAAACCCCTTGTCGGATTAAAAACTCCAGGACCAAGTCAGTATGAATCCACTATAAATGAAAAATCAACTTACAATCCACCAAGCAGAAACAACACTCATTTTTAGGGTTGGTAACAGTTTAGTTCAAGGTCGGTTCAGCCAAAACCATTACCAAACCACCAGTTTTTTGGCCTACCATAACCGTACCATAACCATGTAAGTCGGTTCGGTTCGGTTCGGTTTAGTTCCTATCTCGGTTTGGCTCGATTCGGGCGATTAATAACCACAAACAGAGGCAAATCCAAGATTTCAACCCAACTAGGACGGTCGTTGATCATTAACCGTCAGCAGTCAACGGTCGTATAACAATGTCATTTATAAATATGAAATTAAATAATATTAAAATTATTCGATCTATATATAAATAAACTAAAACGTAAAAATCATATATTTATATCAAATTACTGTACAATACAATTCGAAATAATATAAAATAAATTATACATGAGACTTTTTTTTTATTATCGATGCTTAATAAATCGTTTGCTCGATTAGAAGTAGTTACAGGATTAGATGCACCACTACAAGAACTAGGTTGCGACATCGATTGAAAAAATAATTGCACATTCTATATTATAAATAAAAGTAATTTTAAAATATAATTAAAGTTTCAATTTTCAATTCCCAACACTAATTTATAACAGATTATAAATTCCCCAATTTCTACATTTCACAGTACGCAAATTAATTTTTAATATCACAACTCACAGTTGAGGTATTCTCATATAACCAAAAAAAAAAATACTAAATCAATTTAGTAAATAATATCTCAAATGAGAATGCAAACAATATCTCAATTCCCAAATGCAGAATTCAAATTTAACAAACGATATTATCAACATAACAATACTAAACAATATCCTTGTCCCTTGATTTTTATGCATCGAACTTGATTCCTACTCAATAACTCAAAAGTTCCAACCTCAATTTATATTCAATCTTCATTCATAGAAAGAATAATGGAAAGTTCAATTGCTCAATTATTATTTTTTAACGAGTACTTATAAAAAAATAAAAAAATTAACGGGTAATCGGTTCGGGGCGAGTCAAAAGCATAAATACCATACCCGCTCCTCAAGGAATCGGGTCATTAAAATCAAATATCATACCTGTCCTATTGCACAATCGGTTCGATTTTTTCGCCCCGTTCGATTTCATTAACCACGATTTTTGTTTTTGACAGTTCAAATTGCCATCCTCACTCATTTTTCCTGACCTTTTGCCTATAATTTCGCAAAGCCTCCTGGAATGCGTGCTCCTGCATCAACTCACGGTTCTTGATTTCGTCCATCTCTTGTGAATTCCCGAAAACTCCCTGTTCTCTAACGATCGGAACTTTGATCTCATTCTATGATCTTTAACTCTTGACAGATGCTCTGGAAGTACAGGTTTTGGTATTTGATGAATATGGATTTGATGTTTTTGAGTGAGTACACTAAAAAGATAATGGGATTGAATCAATGTAACAAAGTGTAGGATGTGTTCTTCAAAATCAATCATCTAAAAAAAATGAAAGAATACGATGCACTAGAATATATAGGACATGTTTTGGGTAGTGTAGGCCGGGTCAAACTCTCAAAAATCACAAAATAGGGTTTCTCCAGCATGTACTATCACTCAAGCAAAAAGCGAGCGACTCTGTTTCGCTCGAGTAAGGCAGTAGTGATAAGCTAGCGACGAGGTCTCTGTTTTTTACGCTCGAGCAATCTTCTGGCAAGCAGCTAGTGAAATTTCTACGAATTTCTTCTCTTTTTCCAAAACTCAAACCCTACATACTTTTACAAAATTGCAACATAGTCCATGACTTTTAAACATAGACAATATGACCCTTAAATTTTGACAATATACAATTTGAACCCTTTGTTCACAGAATTGCCAACTCAAAACCTAACAAACTCTCCCCTTTGGCATTATGTGACAAAACGTAGATTACATCAATGACTACAATGACTACCCAAAACAATTGACTTAACTGACTATAGCTTCGTCTTCGTTAGACCTATTTCCTGAAACCACAACTCACATAC